TCTTCCCAAAAGCCTTATGCACAAAATTTACTTTTTCCTATGCATGTCTAAGTTTTTGAAAGTCTATATAAACCTTGATTTACATCTAGGATGATATGGCTTTTACATTATAACTTCTGATTTATTGAAAGCCTATCTGAGAGATATTCTGCAGAAAATCAAATCTGATTTTTCTATTTTTATTTCTTGAACACACACATAAACACAAGAGTGATTTTAGGGTGTTGTTCAGTTCCTAATCGTGTTCAAAGTTTATTGAATATTGCATGTACAACGATCAGAGAAGCGGATCTATTCATTCTTCATCAAATTCAGATCTTGAAGAAAAGGGGTGAAGCGATTACACTTTGAAATGGTCAAAGCATTCGAGGAGTATTATTTGATCTACCAGCAATCCTTCGACAGAGATTATGATTAAGCCTGGAGTTAAGAGCTGTTGGATGGAATATCGCAAAGCCAGAGGATTGTCAGCAATTGGTTTTTGGTAGAACGTTATGGTGTGAGCCTGAGTCAAAGTTTATTATACTTTGTTTCAAGCATAGTGGATCGGTTTACTTTAAACTGCACAATCCATTGTACTTTGTTTTAAAGCTAATGACATATGGTATGTTGACAATGGTTAAAAGGTACATAGATTGAGATATTTTCATGTACCACATTCAAGTGTAAATGGTTGTTGGAAATAGAAGAGGAAGCCATTTTAGGAAAAAAGAAGTATGAGAAGGAAGATAAGATTTAGCAATGTTATTTTACTCAAGTAAATGATGGATATCTCACAGGCAAAACAGTGAAAACTAAAAATTCCTTTGGTATCCCTATCACAGGATTTAGTACATGAGGGTGGGTGAATGTGAATGGTTCAACAACGTCCAGTATATTGACGAAACCTCAGGAAATGTAACACACATAGAGTTAAAGGTATTGCATATCTAATTGATCGAGCAATAACTCAAAGACCACCTAAAAAGGAATATTTATTGTTTGATCCATATCCTAACATAAGACATCCAACTGGAGCAATACTTGAAATGGCAATTTACCCATGAAATAATGCCCTTAGTAGGGCATGACTTGTATATACAATTTCATTCATTACATGCAAGAGACTATTAATATAAATCGCAGTAGTTTTTACATGCATTTATTTGTAAATAATAATCACTCATTTATTTCAATAATATATTTTGTTAGATTTATTTTTTGAACTTAATCTTTCTTAATTATTAACATTTTATGCCATAGAACAAACATGTCCTTATGACTATCTTATAGTTTTTATTTTTTACCTTCAAATTGGCTGTAATTCTATTGTTCCCAAATAATTTAGAAGTATTTCTCAATTTTAGCCATCATGATTTTATTATATAAACAATATTCTCTTATGCTGCGTTTGGTGTGCAGGAATGGAATAGAATGCCCATTCCAACCATTTCTTTATTTGGTATGCAATTTAGGGCTAATTTGGTGTGGTGGAATAGAATAAAAGAAAGTAGAATGAAATGATTTTTTTTTTTTTTTTCCATTCTCGTGTTTGGTGCGCAATTTTAAAGTTGGAATCATCATTCCCCACTATTGTTAGAGAATGGTCATTCCATCAAAATCATTCCACCTTCAAACAAAAGGAATGATCATTCTATTCCTACTTTTAAAAAATACAGACTAAAAAAAATTAAAAAATAAAGCTGAGTCCCCAATAAATTACAAACCCACATCAATCCGGTAAACACACCCACATCAATCATGTAAACACACTGGCGATGAACAAGGAAGAAAGAAGCAAAGCCAGCCCCGACGAGCAAAAAGAGGGTTTAATCCAATGATGAAGTGGACTGAAACGACAGCGACTATGAATGATCTGACCAGTTTTCTGAAAGTTGTCGAAGAACATCGTCGGAGAAGATGATCGAAAAATTCGTTAGGCGAGTGAGATATACGAGTAGAACTTCAGGTGGCGCGTGTTGGCGCGTGTAGCGTCGAATAGGGTTGTTCTTTGCACCGTTCTGTTCATCTTGGTACATTGGACCTTCGTCTGTGATTTTTTGCTATATGATTGGTGGTCTCAATTAAAAACACTACCGCCGGATACAGATTCTTCGGCGGCGACGCCTCCCCTTTGTTCGATCACCGATTTCTCTCCATCGCCTTTTCTTGCCCATATGTTTCTTTTTTCTAGTCTATTTTCTCTCTCTATTATCTCTTTTCCCTTATATTTTTGCAGATGTTAATTTTTTTAGTTAAATTTTTTTAGTAATAATAAAATGTAATTTAAAGAAACAATATAATTCATTCCATTCCAACTTTTTTACCAAACACATGAATAAGAATGAGCATTCCATTTTTACACATTTCATGGTTGCAACCAAACGATAAAATAAGAATCATCATTCCTATTCCATTCTCTTCTCATTCCATTCCCACCTCCATTATCATTCCATTCCAATTCATTCCACTACACCAAACTAGCCCTTAAAGTGAGAATGGGCATTCCATTGGAATGAAAATCCATTCCACAAGTAAACCCATAAAATGACCATTCCATTCCCAAGTAAATTTTTAAAAAAAATCAAATTCCAAGAAAACCCTTATGTTTCAAGTTCAAAAACCACCACTGCCTTCCACCACTACCGCTGTCACCGCCGTTGCCACCACCACTACCACCAATGTCGCCACCGTCGCCACCACTGTCTTCCACCACCACCAATGCCACCACCGCCCCCACCACCGTCTTTTGCCACCACCATTACTGCCACTGCCACCACCACCACCACTGCCTTTCACCACCACCTTCCACCATAACCACCACTGCCACCTTCATTGCCTTCCACCACCGCCACAATTGTTGCCACCTTTAACCACCACCGCCATCACCAAATTCCACAATTACCACCAACCACCGCCACCTCCATTACTTTCTACCACCGTTATTGCTACCAAAACTGTCACCATTATCACCACCACTACTGCCGTTGTCACCAACACCTTTTACCCGCACCACTATCGCCTTCCACCACTCCTACCGCCACCACTGTCGTCGCTTTCCACCACTACCACAGCGCCATCGCCACCTCCACCAATATTGTCACCTCCATCGCCACTGCCACCGCCACCAACCTCTACCACTGCCACCATTTTCCACCACCGCTGCCACCTCTAATGCCTTCCACCATCACCACCATTACCACCGTAACCTCTACCACCTTTCACCATCACCACCGTCACTGCCTTCCACCATCATCACCTACACCATGGACGCCTTCCCCCACCACCATCAGTACTTCTACCACCAGCACTGCCACTGCCTTCCACCAACACCATTATTGCCTTCTGCCACTGCCGCCTTCCAACACCACCACCTACGCCACTACCGCTTTCTACCTCCACCACCATCGTCACTGCTATCTACCACCGCCGCAATTTATTTTTAAGAAAATTATAAAAGAATGTTATTCTGTTAATTTAATTTATTTGTTAGTAATAGGGTATTTTGGAGAATTCAATTTGAAATTCATTCCATTCTAAATTTTAAATTGGTCCAATTAAAAAATAGAATGGTTATTATCATTTCATTCCTATGTGTTTCATATTTGCTGTAACAATCCTCGCCATATCCAGATACAATATTGTCCGCTTTTGGCTCCCTTGGACCGGATACTTCCTAGGTACTCAAGGTTAAGCACACTTATCTCTAGAGTTCTATTGGGTTCACGACCATTACGACTTTAAAATGTATTGTGTCATAAAAGGGTGTTGAATCTACATATACACCCAGCAGATGTGAGATTGTGCACGTGTAACTCGCCCAATGTGGTAGTCTACTGGTGCCGCCTGCACACGCTCACACACACCCACCCATAAGGTCACCACAATCACCCCATTTGGGGCCCAACATCCTCGTTGGTCACACTTCCGGCTGGGTCAGACTCTGATACCATTTGTACCAACTCTCACCCTATCTAAACACAATATTGTCTACCTTTGGCTCCCCCAGACCAAAGACTTCCCAGGGAGTTACCCATCTGGTACTACTCCAGGTTAAGCACGCTTAACTCTAGAGTTCTGGTAGGTTCACGACTATCATGACTTAAAAACGTGTTTTATCACAAAAGGGTGTTGAATTTACATATATCATTTGCCTTGTCTACACCAGGAGATGTGAGATTGTGCACCTGTACCTCGCCCAGTGTAGTAGCCTACTGGTGCCCCCTGCACATGCTCACAAACACCCGCCCACAAGGGCGAGCTACAGTTTCACAATCCGAATAGAACATAAACACTGTTTGACTGGAGAAGATTTTAGTCCCCATAAGAACTTCTATATTGCACTACAAACTTCAACCGAATAGAACATAACCACTATTTGACCGGAGAGGATTTTAGTCCCTATAAGAACTTCTATATTCCATTGCAAACTGCATTACTTTCTTTGCAGCCACGGCCAAATGCAGCGGGCAGCATTGGAGGCTGGGTTAGTCGGAGAGACGAAATAGACGGTTCGGACGATGTCCATGTCTTCCTGTGGCCCAACGGATTGCAGTCCACCATGCTATCAACAAGTTCAAAATATTTTATGTTATCAACCAGCACTAGACATTTTTTAGAAGCTTTTTAATTAGTTCAGTGTAGTCTAATTGAAAATTTTAATTTTTTTAATATTGACATGACAATTGACAAAATAAGGAATATAGAGTAATTTTTATTTTTTATTTTTTATTTTCTAGTTGATACTCCACCGTTTTTCATTTAGTATTTTCCTCATAGAAAAAAGCTTGGTCTGTAAGAAGTTTTATTTGCTAAAAAGTCCTAGAATGTGCAGATTAGTGCAAAAGCAGTAATTTAAGCAATTAATTGTAAAAGTCCCCTTTCTGTTGTGATGCATAAGCCATTAATTGAAAAGACAAAATAAGGAGGAAAAAAACACACACACACACGCACAGAGTCACATAGATACATCAGGTGATACATATATACAATTTTTTAAACATCTAAACACAAAGTGAAAATACCCAAGTCAAGATGGTGTTATATGTCCACTACTTTTATATGGTAATTGTGGTTACATGCTGAGTACCAATATGCTGATATGTTAGGTTAAAAAAAAAAAAACCCATGTTGACATGTTAAAGTCCCCAAGGAGATTCACAGAAGCTAACTACCCAACAACTTGACATAACTACTAAAATGTCCCATAATAGAAGTCTATGGCATGTATTTCTTAACATCACAGCAGAGACCCCAAGCACGGTGTCTCAATGCTGAAACCTTAGTAAAAGACTCCTCATTTGAGTTTTAGACCTGAGACATGGCGTGCACGTGTTTTCTTGAGTGCCTCCAACTTTGCTGTTATGGCCTCTATTTCTTTATTTAGCTCAGCAAGGGTGGTATCACTTTCGTGATCTTCTTCACTTTCCGCATTGGAGTCTTCTTCAACCACCTCATCAAAGTCGTCAAGAACAGCCGAAGATGAATTTGTGCCCAGGGAAGGTATACCTTCAATAGAGTCAACACAAAAATTTGAATTACATATATGGCTTTAGAAAACAATTAATTCAATACCATATCACTTCATGTTTATTCTTGAAAAATGATTAATTGTAGGCGTGCCTCACAAATGGTGCAATGAAGATGAGCAACCTAGTGACATGCATTCTATATAATAATACAAGTCATTAACCTCATAAGAAGAGTCTAAAACCGTGTCATATTAAATGGACTCTCCTATTTCCCTCAAAGTACTCTGTCGGGGCGAAAAGATATTTTTACATGGGTACAGGGAAGAGATACTTGTTGGACACATACTCAAAACATGGAATCTGAATCTTCTGTATGTGATGACAGAAGAAGAAAAGATCAAATTTGAGAGCAAAAATGTTTCCTACGTCTAAGATAAAAGGGATTCTCTTTTTTTTCTCTTCACCATATTCCAATTAATTAAAACTTTAATTGAGTATACTTGTAAATTTTTAAAGATTAATAGCATTAGCAATACACTATTTTATAGAATATTGTGTTTTTTAACCTGCAAAATCTGTCCATGTACCTATATCTTGCTTTTAAGATCTGTCCATGTGTCCTAAGATCTGAAATTCGGAGAGGCCTGACACTCGAATACATACCATATCTACAAGAGTCCATGTAGAAATACATGTTCGTAAGAAATGTCTACGATACTTACGCTTGATAGTATATATGCAATAATCTTGTAATGCAGTAGAGATGAAGTTTGAAAAGATGGCATTCGACACAACAGAAAAAATGGTCACATTTTAGAAGTATACAAGTACAACTGATGCAAACATAAGGATATTTGATTTCATTGAAAAAGTAAGAAGGTGCTGGTGAAGATCTACTCATATGACATAGGTAGGTGAAGAGAAATAGGAGAGTCCATGTAATCGAGATGTACTCACATCCAAGTAAATACTAGTATATGAGTTGCTCTCCACAAATCTATACGAAGAATACTCAATCAATAAATTTCAGCACGCCATATTCACTAAAGAATAATTTAGCCATCTTTTGTTGTAACACAAGTTGGAGAAGTAGAAATTTCACCAAAAATCCTATTCTGTCTAGCAAATGATATAGCATAGAGAGAAGAGAGAGGAAAGAATGTACAAGGGCTGATTCACAGAGATGGTGAGGTCCTCTAAGTTGGGGAGATAGTCGTTGCAAGTGAAAATCAAATCTAGAATTATGTTTACCTCATTATCAAAATTTTGACAATAACTAAATCTAATAAAATTTATACATTTATAACACATGGAAAAACTTAAAACATCAACTTCCTCCAACTTATCATGTTACGTATTACTCACATCCAAACTTTTTTCTAATGCGAGTGAGTATAAAACAACTTACTGACTTGGTACCTACCAATATGCTGCTCACGTCTCTCCTTATGTTCATCCAATTTTGTTGTTACTGTCTGTAATTTTGCTGTCACTGCATCTACCTCTGCTTGAAGCACTATAATCTCTTCTTCTGCTCTAGCAATTGCAGATGTTGATGCAATTTTAATCTCCACTTCCATTACCCCTGCATCATTCTTATAATCAAGTATACTCTAGCTAAGGACCATTCCCAAATCATCATGCTAGATATTAATCACGCTTCAAATGCCCAATAATAAACATGAAAACTATTTTTAATACAACCAAGTACAAAACAACTTACCAACTTCGTAGTCACTTATATGTTGCACACGTTTCTCCATAAGTTCATCCAATTTTGTTGTTACTGTCTCTAATTTTGTTGTCAGTGCATCTACCTCTGCTTGAAGCATTATAATCTCTTTATTTGCTTTAGCAATGGCAGGATCATCTCTTGTGGCACTTAAAAACGCATTTTTAATCAACATTTCCATTACCCCTGCATCATTTTTATCATCAAGTCTAATAGCAAAGGACCATTCTCATATCACCATGTTACACATTAATCACACTTCACTAGGCTAATAATAAATATGATAATTATTATTATTATTATTATTATTATTTTTTTTTTTATTTTTTCAAACAACCAAGTACAAAACAACTTACCAACTTGGTAGTCACTAATATGTTGCGCATGTTTCTCCTTAAGTTCATACAATTTTGTTATTAGTATCCCCGATTTTGCAGTAAGTGCATCTACCTCTGCTTGAAGCATTACAATCTCTACATCTTGTGCCAAGGACCACTCTGTCTTTACTCTTTAGTAATGGAAGAATCTGACATGCAACCAAAAGATAAAGAGTTTGACTCTATTACATTTTAAGTAACAAATTTTTTTTTTTTAACATAAGAGACGTGAGAACCATCCTATGAGGATGAATGCCGATAAATTTATATAATGGGCTACAATTTAACGATTATTCATTCACAACAAGCATTTTAAAAGTATCTAATCATATTTTTTTTCTAAAATTAAATACCCCATCTCTAGGAGACGTTTTACTCGACATAGAAATCTGTCAATAAGATATCACATCATCTAGTTAATATTAAGTGGATTATCCAACTATATTTATATTTTTTTGTAGGCAACGTATTACTAAAAGCAATGCATCCCCCACACTCCCACTTATAAAGTAGTATATGGGTTGAATAGCTTTTCTAAATCATTTTACATATTTGGCATATTTGATATTACAGATGCCTATGTAAATATGTTTTTTCTACCAACAATGCATTTAAAAAAAATAAAAATAAAAAAACAAATTCTAGAAGTGTTCTAAAGTTTAATCATCTAAAAACCTATTTGCAAACAAAAAATGCAAGACGGTAGAACCAAATCTTTTTAGGATTGGGATTTCAGAAAAGAAAAGAAAAGAAAATAAAATGAAATCTCATTTACGCATTTGGAATAGTTTGAAATTTAAAAAACTAAAAGAGGAACAGAGTCAGAGATATTGCAAAGTCTATTTGGTAATTTATACCATGAAATCGATTAATTTTCATGAGACTTTTGAATAATATTTATTATTACTATAAATTCCATTTTAAAACCATCGAAATCCCACTGTTCCAAACACAACGGTTGAGTATGCAAAAACCAAAACTGGAGTAAAAAAACTCATGAAATGGAATCAAATAGTAAACAATCTATGTCTCATCAAATAGCTGAAAAGTAGTGTGTACCTCATCAAACACGCAACTAATATGAGCATCATAGTGGCATTCCTCACAATAATAAATTGGATCTTGCTGGTATCTTCTTTCCTCGCAAAGGTCACAGTAATATTCCCAGCTATCGTCGTCGTCTGAATGGTCTTTGATGGGAGAGCGAGTGAGGGTGAGTGGATGTTGCTCATGGCAACTATGTTTAAATGTATGTGGTAATGTGGGATGACAACACAAATTGAGAGAGAAATCGCATGGCACACAACGGAATAAGGGGAATGTATCCGTGTACAAATGCACTGAATTCCGCTAGCCTTGTTACACTTGTTCTGGTTGAAGAAAGCAAGAGAGTGCTGGTGAAGTTCAAATTTGAAAGTAGAGTATGACACTAGCCACACCAGTAATGGAAGCCCAAAACAGAACATTCCATATTGATATCGCAGAGCACAAGAGGATGTGTTGGATGAAAGGGGTGTTTGATCTTTGGTGGCAATTCAGCGCATGATTTGCGCAGCAAAAGCTGGTATTTAAGACAAGCATACACTGAACCATCCTCGATGGATATCTGACAAGCAAAACAGCGAAAACTAACAATTTCGGAAAAGAAACTGAAATCTCATTTATGCATTTGGAATAGTTTGGAATTTAGAAAACTAAAAGAGGAGCAGGGCATAAGTCTACTACTGCTTATTAGTAATTATCAAATACCATGAAATCAACTAAACTTCATGGGAGTTTTAAATAATAATTATTACTGTATTACCATAAATTCCATTTTAAACCCATCAAAATCCCCATTGCTCCAAACACAAGATTGGGTGTGCAAAGACCAAAACTTAACTACAAAACTTCATATAAAATGAAATCAAATTACCTCTTTCTTATCACAGAGAATCAAGGGACGCGAGTGAGTCATCTGTTGGTCGAGGCTGCGAGGACGCCTCACATCCTTGATTCCCTGTGATAGCAAGAATAATAAGGAGGTTGAGTTTTCAATTTCCATCTCTATCTCTCTCTTTCTGTGATCCAAACAAAGAAATGAGTGACTACGGACAAAATTAAGAAAATTTGTTTAGTTTAAGAAAATGCCAAATCCGAATCGCCGAAGCTAAAACAGACAGGTTGGGGCTGTGAGCCACCATTTGAAAGGAAGAAAATGGGTGGCGGCTTTTTCTTGCTTTGGGTTGGGGGATGTAACCCTAGGTCTGGGAAAATAGGCACGTGGATCTCTTGGTCTTTGCTCTGTCTTCAGGGGCGTGACTTGTGTATACAATTTTTCCTTTTTGCTTTTGTGACGTTAATCAATTTTTGTAACCAATTAGTCTGCAATGAACAAAACACTTTAAAGTGTATATATATACACATACATTTTTTAATGAATAATAACCAATCATCTACCTCAATATTCTATTTTATTAGATTTATTTTTTTGAACTTATTATTTTTTAATAATCTAATATTTTATGGCATGGAACATACATGTACCGATGATATCTTATAGTGATTAATATTTTTATTTGGGTTAATTACAACGGTACGATATAATGACAGTTATATATTAATTGGGTTATTTTTGAGCGATGACACTTCTTTAAATTTGAAAAAATTAACAAAGACACCCAATTATCCTGAATTGACATTATTGTCTTTTGAGACATTCAATTAACAATTTATTCAATATAATTATTTTTTATTGACCAAAATACCCATAAAAAACCAAAATCCTCACTTTCTCTCTCCTCTCCGTCTTCACCTCTACCACCATATCCACCACCACCATCACCATCACAGTTCATCAGCACAACATATATATATATATAGAAGAACGCATAGAGAGCGAAAATTATAATGGATCTTCATCATTACTTAAGTGCATCCAAAGGGGAAAAAAATTGATTCAGCGGAGAAAATATAAATTTTAGCAAACTAAATGGGATATCCTTTTCAAATCTGATTTTTTTATTTTTTTATTTTTTATTTATAGAACTTGGGTGGGTTAGTAAAAAAAATTACAATAAAACAGGAATGAAAGCAATCCAAATTCTTCAAAAAAGTAATATATATATATATACACACACACACATACACACACACACAAAATTTCAATAGTTAAATGGTCAAGTTTTACATTTTTTTTTTTAATGTATCCACCATTAATGCCAATTTCACAGTAACAAAATCCATCAACATTACCAGAAACCTACACCAAATCAAACTTTAGAAAAATAGAAAAAACCACACCCCAACAAATCTTCAAACCACCAATTGTGTCTAGAGTTTTGCACTGGCATATTATTGTAATCGGTGGTAAGCAACTCGCATTTGTATCCCCACATAATCGACAGCGGCACACTCTCATTTCTTCTCAAATCAAAGCATCGTTGTTCTTATACAACCTAGTGGACCGCGATTCCATATCCTCTTTGACTCTTTCGACTTTAACACGGCTTCCTCCGGCGACTCAGTCACCACTTCGGTACCCAGAACTCCAAATTCGACAAGTTACATCAGTTCACTGGACTTGGAATCAACAGTTAGCCAATTGGACGACGACGATGACGACTCAACCTTCCTCCAACAGCCACCACAACTCGACGCCCTAAACGACGACGTCGACCTCTCCCTCATCAAAGCTACTGACAGATCCGAAAATGTTGTCGATTCTTGGTCTCTTCCACCATGACACCATTGACATCGTCGGATTGCTCCTCCTCTTACCTCCACTACTTATCACCACCACGGTTGAGTATATGTTAAACCTTGAAGATGATGATAAGGGGTTTGAGTTGGCGGGCGGAGGTTGTGAATTGGGTGTGGCTGCGTAGTGGGGGCGGCGTCGATGAGGGTGGTGGCGACTGGTGCTCTCTCTTCTTCGCCGCTCTTCCATATATATATATATATATATATATATATATATATATATATATATATAAGGGTAATAATGTATATATATAAGGGCAATTTTGACTTTTCATGAGTTCTGATATTTTATAATAAAAATGAATTAAATATTAAAGGGCAATCTCGTATTTTTAACATTCTAAGGGCTTGTTTAGATCAAAATTATCACATGAAGTGTCTTTGTCCAAAAAATAGTTAAGTTGTATATGGTTGTCAATATATCAAACCTCAGAAGGTATCCTGTAATTAACCCTTTTTTTTATTTTTACCTTCAAATTAGACTTTACAAGTATTTTCAATTTTAGTCATCATGGTTTTATTTTGCAATATCCTTTTCCATGCCCTATTTTATAAATCTCCAATCCATGAGGATATCTATCACGTCACAACCAAGTTTCATTATAATTTTAAACTTTTATTTTTAAATTGATTTTTTTTTTCTCCTCCCAATTTGTCTCTATAACTATGTATGAAATACCTTTAAGGAAAATAAAATAAAATCTATGCATGAATAGATCACTTGCACGTGCTTCATCGCTAACACCTGCACAAGATGTGGTACGATCACCAGTGCTTAGCTAGCAGCTTAAGGATCATCAGTACTTGTAAATGTGTCTTTTCAACTTATTTTATTACTTTTGTTTTAGGGTAATGTATAATCACACTTCTGAAGTTTTGGTAAAGACAACCATATATAAGTTTGCCTATATATAAATTGGCCTATTTTTGAATGATGACACCCCCTTGTAAAATTTAAAAGCTAAATAGTGCCCAAAAATATGTAAAAAGTTTACTTTACCCTTCATTATTTAATTAATATTAATTGTAAAATACAGGGGTGGGCAAAAAATTTGCAAATCCGATCCTATCCGTACGGATCGAATCGGATTACCAGACCCACGGATCGGTGGTGGATTCAAAAAAATTGAATCTGTAGTTTACGGATTGGATCACGGATTAGACTGTCAAAAATCTGGTTCGATCCGTGGCCAATTCGTAATATATATATATATATATATATATATATATATATATGAACTCCTAACATACCTTACTTTTTCTATTTTCCTTTTTTGGTAAGTATTATACAATTAGTTTTCTAATATTTATTACTCAATCAATAGCCATGGACCACGACTTTTCATTTAATCAAAACCTAAACCTAGCCTAAGATGAAAGAACTTAAAGAACTAAAGAAGAGCAAAGAGAAAAACGGCCGCCTTACCTATTATGCATTTAAATTGGTTTTATTTATGTTATGTTATATACTTATACTGTTTTGTAAGTGGATATGAAATTGGTGAAAATAGACTAATTTGGAAAATTCAGTTTGCGGAATGGATCCAATTCGTTGGCTAATGGATTGGTGGCGAATTCAAAATCTCCCAATCCGTTAAGAGCGGATCGGATTAGGATTGATGCCTAATCCGATCCGATCCGATCCATGGCCACCCCTAGTAAAATATCAAAACAATTAAATGACCGAATTACCAATTAAAATAGTTTACTTCTCTTCCGGCGATAACTCTCTGATATCACCAAACTATGCTTTCTGGTATACTTTAATGGTGACCAATGAAAGCTTCCAAATGAAGATCGATAAGGTCTTAACAAGGGAGATTAGTTACTGTGACAGCCCTGGATTTCCAAGCCCAGTACGTCCTGTGATGACCCGAAAGTTGACTCAGAAACGGATCCAAAAATACGGAAGAGAAAGATAAAACTAAGGTCTCTAGAGATGTACGTCATCCCTAAGACACAAAGGTGGCTTCTCGAGGAGTTCCGAGACTCAACGGAAGTAAGAAGTAAACAAGGATTTTGAAACCCTATAAGAAATAGATCAAGGGTAAAATAGTTATTTCATAGAGAAATGGATACTACCAAGCATACCATTGAAAGAAAACAAAAAATTAATGAAGTTAGACTCAAGAATCACCTAATTCAGAGTTTGGACGGAAAAGATATTTAAAAAGGAACAAGGTGGCATCTTTTGATTAAGAGATACCACGACCCTCTCTCACTAAAACTAGCATAACTCTCACTACGGTTGGATTTTTTATGTATGGTTGATACCATTGGAAAGCTAACTTCAAGCTCTTGAATTTAAGCTCAAGGATGGCTTGATTTGGATTAAAAACAAGCAAGATATGACCCTCTAAAGTTGGCTCAAGAAAGCTGTCCAAGAAACTGAAAAGAAATCATGCTTCAGGGAGGATCAGCAAGTTGACGGCAAGGATCAGCCGGCCGAAACTCCATCATCAACTGGCTGATGACATGGATCAGCCGGCCGAAATGCCCTGTCAAGTATGCAAACTCACTGGAATTCATTACAAAAGGTTATCAGTCGGCTGACAGCTCTTGTTAGCCGACCGACGCATCAGATAGCAACAAAAATTGATACTGCAATGTGTGGAGAAGGTGTTCAGCCCAACCCTAAGGCCATACATACATCCCATATGATTTGAAACAAGTTTAAAAACATTCCATGGTCTCATATAAGCATCCACAATATGATGAACGAAGAGGGAACTTCAAATCATACTCCAATGCATGAATTTTGCATAAAAATCCATAAATCATCCAAAAATAGTTCCAAAGTCTAAATTTAAGAGTTTTGTGAGATGTAAACATGCACGCAAATGTAAAATGATAAAGTAGACGCGCTACAATGGCCTACGGCCTCATTACAATCCGTTTACAAATTTTGACATACCAAACCTCAAATTTTCACGAAATAGGCTACAATGGCAATACTTGAGTTTTAAAAGCATACTTGTAAACTTTAAAGTTAATGGCCTTTGGCCTCATGCCATACATACAAAATAAGCGTCAAAAAGTGTACTTAGGTACACATTACATATTTCAAAGCAAAAATAGCATTTTACACCAAAATGATACTACATTCTAACACTTACATGTTCTCCAAAATACAACATAATACTTCAAGGCATCAAAGTAACTTAGGGATGTGATGCATCCTAAAACAAAGTTTCTTTACTTACAAAATAACTCAAACAATTAGGGTGAGTAATCAAGTTACTCGTAGGATGTGGTGCATGCGCATACCCTATTGTTTCAAGTATAATGCGAACCAAACATAGATCATCACAAGGGTGCATTCCACCTAACATCTATGTTTTCAAGGTACTCTAATGGATCATCTCAAGCTATATAAATATTTAAAATGATAAATACATAGCATCCAAGTATACATAAACAAGTACACCAACCGTATTGAAACTAAAATTACCAAATCACAAGCTACAAGAAATCAATGATTTACAACTTGGAATATAATGAGAAATCAAATAATGGAAAGACTAGGATATGTGGCCACGAGACCATACAAGTT